TATATATATATTGGATTTTGGAGAACAAAAATTTAACAAACTTAAAATTTTGGAGAACAGATTGGATTAGAAAAATACAGAATGCCCATTTTTTTAGGTGATGAGTTTTTTAGCACGACTGTATCTCTACACTGCTACAGAACATTCTTTACCAGGTGAATCAAAACGTGTGTAGATGTCAAGAATGCATCAGAGCCAATGGTGAGTAGTTCCAGCATCAACTATAATGTGAGTCTAATTTAAACTTCGGTAGCGAAAAGCCACCTCCCTCTTCGGTGATTCTACCGACCGCCCTCCCTCGATTTTCGCCGCATCCGTGGCCTCGTTCGCAGAGGCGAAATAGCCGCGCGACCAGCACATTTATAAAATGATCGCGATTTGTCGTGTATTTGCATACAAGAACAATAGGCGCCGTTTGAAATGCACAATAGTTTGTAAGGTTTCTCGCTAACGTAGTTGGAAATAAATTATAACAACTAATTGGAAATGTGACTAAATTAAGAGGAGCCAAGAGTTATATTACGATCGTATTTTTTCGATTGTGAATGCGCGCGAACGAATAATCGCTCGTTGAGTTTATGAAGTTGAATGCAATTTTGTGCTGTTGTGCCCGTTTTTGTACCGAATAGTGTGATATTGAACACTGAGATTCTCTCTTAACCTTGTTGGAGTGATCAAATGAGATCATCTTAATACAATCTATCGGGACGAGTTGACTGCAGGAGTGGGAGAAGGAAACATGAAAACACACACGCGTACAAATTAATTACTGTGTCTTTATCTCTTATGTCTACATTGCATCTTGTCGCTTGGTAAAGGTGGCGTTTGTCCCGGCTTCGGCCTCATTCCTCCTCCAGCAGCTGCTCCTCCGGGCCCCACTCCAAGTCCACTGCCTGCCCAGTCCTGGCCGCATTGGTCAGCGCAGCTGCGATCTTCACCACGGCCTCCGTCTGGCGACTCGTCACCGACAGCTTTGTCTTGCCTGCGAGCAGCACATTCACGATTAGAAATGCATTCTATTTACTACATCATTCTTTCTAATAATAATTTGCTAGGTGATTACATTAAATTGCTTTATATGTGCTTATTTTTACACTGGTTAATCATGTGGATTTGATTTAATTGATTCATCATGTTAAGAAGTTTAAAAAAGAATTGATATTCTAAAGAGCTTGCAAAGAGTGCTGAATAGTAGTGGAAGTGCTAATTTAATTTAACATTAATTAATGTTTAATTCTTTGATTAATAATTATGTACAATGTGTTTTAGCGAATACGCGAAGAGTTGATGCGAATGTCATAAGACGTTTTATAGTCTTTAGCATTATTAATAACCTACCCTGTAATACGAGTAGATGTAAATCCCACCTGACATACGTAGCACAAGCTGTCGTTACGGTAACGGTTGTGGCTTTAATCCAGCCGGAAGGCTGAGAACTAATAAAGGAATGAGTTAATACAGAATGAATTAATACAAGACCAGCAATGTTTTCTCCAAAATGAATTCCTTCAACTACTATTACCATCTGTTGGTGCTCCTTGCTTCGATGTGATTATCGTATTTAATCCTGGAACTCACGAGAAATTTCAACTAATCTGCTCTTTGAACCGCGTCCTGCTTTCTCTACTCAGTTCGAAACACTCACTCGGACTTTTCGTTGATATTAGGGGAAACAATCCCGGCCTGTCTTATGAGACGGCCTTACAGATCTGGACTTTTTTTGTCCGAATTTACATCGTTCAGCCTTTCGGCTCTACAGATGATTGATGACCTATTCTAAGCTTAAAACTTCCCATGGAATTTTATGGTTTGCACGTGGGGAAACTCATCGAGCACCGCCAGAAATCACTGGGAAATTATATTAAATTCTGAAGTTATTTATTTATATTCAAAAGTAGGAAAGCAGTTTAATAATGAATGATGGGAATATCTTTTTTTTATTTTCAGGAAGGGAGGGTTATCTATGCCGAGGTTGTAAAATGATGGACCGGTTATGTTAGGCACGTGGAAGAAATTGTGTGATGTTTGCTCATTTATTGGTTGCAAGTTGACATCGGAATGGAGGGTTGCATTTCTGACAAACCATGGGGCTTTGGTAACAATGCGGAGGATTCTGCTTTGGAAGACTTGAATCTTGTTTACGTTGGATGTTGCTGAATGACACCAGATCGGGCATGCGTAAAGGAGGAGTGGTCAGTGGACTCTTTTGCAGGCAGCGTTTGGCCATGTCGTACCTTGCACGGCGTCCAGAAAGTGCTCCAACTCGCGGGCGTAGCCCTGGGCGAAGCGGGACGGGTACGAGTACCAGATGGGCGCGCTGGTGGCGACGTGGTCGGGGGTGGTGATGTGCACGCCGGGCGTCGGGTGCTCGTTGCCGCAGCTCACCATGCCCCGCGGCCCGAACACCTCCAGCCGCTGGTCGTAGCCGTAGTTGGAGCGCCGGCTCAGGTCAATGAAGCCCACGGAGCCGCTGGGGAAGTCAAGGGTGATAGCTACCGTGTCCCAGTCGCCGATGCCGTCGATCTCTGGGATGTTGGAGCGAGCGATGGTGGCGACACGACGAGGGAGCTCGCCTAGCACCCACAGCACCATGTCGATGTCGTGCACCGCGCAGTCGCAGAAGATGCCGCCTGCAAAACAAGCGGAGTTCATGAATTGCGTTATCGTGCAAGGAGACCATGTGCATTTCTATAACCAAATACTTCTCCGTTTTGAACAATTGAAATAATTTTTTAGCGGTTCCATTTGTACTATCTGATCTAGAGGCACATTAAGTACATTTTTATATTTAGTTTTTCATATAACTTTATTTAAAATAGGATATAATTACGCGAATTAAGTTACAGACAGAAAATCATCTTAAATACGAATACATCAGTTACGTATTACTAAACGTGGAATGTATACTTATAACCTTTGAAATCAGGTGAAACAAAATAGTAAATGTATGTCATGACTCTTTAACCTATAGCTATATAAAATCACTGTCATCTAGAAGTTGTACTGCTAGGTAATTATGATAGAATCTATTTTTCTTTGATATTTGATGCTATTCCTAGATATAATGTGTATTGTTGGAATACTGAGTTTGAGGTGAGAAGTTGATTTTTTTGAGATATAGCATGGAGCGTTTGTATTTACCTTGTTAACTTATAAACTATTTGAAGTTTTCGACCAGAAATTTGTAATATTTCTAAATATGAAGTGTTGGCATTATCCTAAATGTGTATCCTGCAGGTCGTATTGTGGTTTTGCAATTGAAAGAAATCGATATTCTCGCATCAGATTAAGTGAATGAAATGAATCGAGCGACGCGCACTCACCTGAGGTCTCGAGGTATTCGAGCGAGGGCATGGGCGAATCGCGGCTGGTCGTCTTGATCATGTGCACGTGCCCCACCTTACCCTCGCGCACCTCTCGCCGCACTTGGCTGAAGGACGGATCGAAGCGCCTGGAAAAGGAGCAGTGGAAGCAATTCCAGAATATATCATTAAATTAATAATACTCTCTATTATTTCCTGTTTAGAGAATGGGATATTGTTAGCGTGTAGGAATTTATTTCATACAGTTTAGATAATATTCAATATACGCTTTCGAAGTATCTCTGAAATCGGGAAAGATATGTTTGACAAAAAAATGTAACTTCAATATTTAACAGGGTACAGTGCTTCTTCACTGTCACGTACATTTATTTTTTAGTATATTTAATTTACTGATATGAATCACAAATAAAACATATACAATTAAACATTCAACAAATAGACCCTTGGCTCTCCTGGACACTTTGACGTCCTAATCACAATTACCGTCGTACTGCGACCTTTCTCGCGGCGCCTGAAGGAAGGTCGCAGTATGACGACGTTGGCAACTGTCTCTTGGACGCGGCGTCTTCCAGGCAACGAAGGAACGACACAGTCCATGAAAGCCTACACTTTCATTCGGTGAACTAGTTTTTAGCAAACATCATTTATGTTTCAATACATTTTACAATTAAAGTTTTTGTTTGTTTTTAGGCACTCTATTTGCGTCGGGGCGGGGGCAGTGTTTATTTACATTAACAATGGAGGGGCGATGGGGTGATGTTGGTGGATCATGGTGGGGGCATACGAGAAGAGGCGGTTAAAAGTCGATGGAGGGGTGTTGAGGAGGCGATGGAAGGGCGTTGGAGGGGCTATTGAGAATTGATGAAGGAGCATTGTTGCAGGATCGATTGAAGGGCGTTTGAGAGGCGATTGAGGGTCGAAGGAGGGGAGATGGATGGTCATTGAGGTACGACGGAGGAATGTTAGAGAGCTGATTGAGGACCAATAGAGGGTCGTTGGATGTGCGATGGAAGGGCGTTGGAGAGGTAGTTGAGGGGCGATTTAGAGTCGTTGGATGTGCGATGAAGGGTCGTTGGAGAGGCGATTGAGAGTCGATGGAGGGGGGGGGTGAGGTCGATTGACGGTCGGAGGAGGGGCTTTCGATGGTCATGGAGGTGTGATGGAGGAACGTTTGGTGAATGGGAGGTGATTGAGAGTCAATGGATGGGCGGTAGAGAGACAATTGAGGGTCAATAGAGGGGCGGGCTGGAGAGGCAGTTGAGGTGCGATTTAGGGTCGTTAGAGGTGCGATGGAGGGGCGTCGGAGAGGCGATGGAGGGACGTCTCACCTGTTGAAGGCGCACAGCAGCGGCCGGCCCACCTCCCGCGCCAGCCTGTAGCAGCGCCTCGTGCCCTCCAGGTCTCCGGCAATGGGCTTCTCGCAGAAGACGGCCTTGCGCGCGCGCAGGGCCTCCGTCACGATGGCCTCGTGCGAGCGGGTGGGCGTGGCCACCACCAGCGCCTGCACGCGCGCGTCCGCCAGCACCGTGCTCAAGTCCTTGCTCCGCAGCAGACGCGTGTCGTCGCCCAGCTGCCAGAAGGCGCGGATGGCCGGCCAGCGGTCCTCGGCGTCTTCCACCACGTACAGCAGCCGCACGCGCGGGTTCTTCACCAGGTTGCCCATGTGGATGGTGCCTGCGGACGGAACACGAACGCCCATTGATTTCTACACTGCGTGTGAGGAGCGAGGGAACCATCCGCATTCACGGATGACAAATTGTATTGGTATTGTGGCGAGTTATCTTTGGCATTTCCAATGAAATAATTTTATGAGTCGTCATCGCCAACAATATTGTTTATTACAATAGCAGTGTTTAATGTCTTAGCCATCATCATCATCATCATCATCAATTTTCTGATGTATGGAAGTTTGTAGTCGGTTGTTTGCAGTCGTTTTGTAGCTTCCATACAGCAGAAAACTGATGATGATGCTAAGCCATCGAAAGCTGCTATCGTAATAAACAATATTGTTGGCAATGACGGATGACAAATTGTTGCTAAACACGGATGACAAACTGAATATGCCGTATTTACTAAAATCTAATTCGCATCTTTTTTGATGCGTAGCACTCAAATTCGTCTTGCGCATTAGATTCGATGGTGTATTAGATTCAAATGCAAATTCGTTCTGCAGATCGCCAGTAACTTTATTCCATTTGCTTATCGAGGGTTTTTAGTTACAATATGGAGGACAAGCAGAGAAGATCGTCTTATAATCCATTGTTGTATAACATACATTTAAATAAAATACCCTACTTATAATTCTGTCACTGATACGCAATACATTTGGACGGACCGTTCTTTCATAATTTTAAGTTTCCAGTATATAATGCGCATTAGTTTCGCGTAAATACGTTTTTTTAAAAATAACAAAACTACTTTTGGCTTCACTTGATTATTGCTCTAATTACACTCTTGTCATACAATTAAAACATCAAAGATGACTGTTAGAGCCAGTTCTCAGTGCCTTTTACCACAATAGTAACGCCAATCTTGAGGCGCAAATAATGTGAGCCAGCCGCCCTATCACTGAAAAGGAGGGGAGACCAAAATGGCGGGGTTACTCTTGAGCGGGGAGGGGAAGGGGCGCAGTTGAGTGTCCGGGCTGACTCGAACGCATCGGAGGCGTATAGTGTACTGGCAGGCGCAGCTGACTGTTTCGTGAACACAACACTCGTTTAGCGCAGCGGTTTCGACCCTTGGACGGTGCACGCGGCAGGACTGTGCATGGGTGCATCGCATTTCATCCAGAGGTCGACAGGAGCTGGTGAGTCGTATCTTTATTAATTTTTATAGCACAGTGAAGATTTTGATAGATCATGCGTCTCAGAGGCTTCGCTTAGTACTGGTGAAGTGCACGAATCCGGGCATACTTAAAACTTGCGAGATCTCACCACGTTTTTCCTTCGTGTGCACAACCGTGCAAAAGTGTAAATACTTTGTTCTGGGACACAGGGGGACGGTTCTTCCTAGTTCGCGACACTTCCTCCCTACCGAGTGTCCAAGAAATTTGACTAACATCTTGAATATTCTGCTTGATTGTAGACATTGCACTGGGCTCAAAATATGCGTCCAGTCCGGTGTGATGCCTTAAGTTCTATAAGTATTTTGAATAAGGTAATAACAAGTTATACGGCAATTCATTCTAGACTTTTCATTGTTGTAATTAAATCGTTTTGTATATGTATCTGTATTGATTGCATTCACACTGCATTCGTTCCTCGTGTTTGGTGCAAGTTTTGTTTCAGTGTTAAATGTACTTCGTGTTGATTGATTTCAAAGCAGATCATTAAAATTGATTCAAGTTCAAGCTACCATCCGTCATTGCACCCCAACTAAATTTTTCCGTTCCGTCCTATGGAAATCCTCAGCATATCTGGCGAATTGCGTGGTCCACATTTCGCAGCATAACGGCAGTAGGACTTACGTTTTTTATAATCCCATTCATTGGAAATGTTAAGACAGCGTTTATATTTATTTTACACAAATTGGAACATTAGATCTACTGATGTTTTTTGTCGCAGTAGCCATCTGAATAACTATTACTTAACAGATATTAGCGAGAGGACTTGAATAATTTTCCTATCTTCTGTGGAATTTCTAGCTGGCGTAATTTATTTCTTCTTTGATATTCATTTTAAGATCATTGCGGAGCCATTAATTGCGGACATACCAGGTTGTATTTGTTTCTAAGACATCTAGAAAATTTCTAATTTCGCTGAACAATGTCAATGTCGGAGACGCTGGTGGAACCCCAGAGTTGAATGCTGTAGGACGTTATTGGCCGCAAGGACACTTATATACGAAAATTTTGGTCCCGAAAGATCGGTTTATTTATTGACTAGTTATTGGTAACCACACGATTTTGAGGGACTCCGGCGTGTATTGACGATTTTTATTTTTTAAATAGAAGCGAAAGGACGTCTAGTTATAACGCGTACATAACATTACTTGTGGTCTGCAGCAGTATAAATTATGCTGAACAAACCACACAAAATGATTGTCGAAAAAGTAGCACGCACACGCCCCAATAACAAAAACAAGCACTGTTGTGTAACACTGCAATAAATGATATATTTTTTCTCAAAAGTCTTCAGGGATATTTTAATGGTTTCACAGTACGTACCAAGCATATACAAAATTACTTTTCTATAACACGGCACCTGAATAACAAATATTTGATGGTAGGCGGCCTCTTCCTTGGCGTCTTGCTGTCATGACATTAGTTGTCGTAAGCAGTTGCACATGTAGTATGAGAATTTAGTCGGTACGCGCTGTATGAGAATAGGTGGAGGAACACAATGGAATATTTATATTTTCAGGCAAAATATAAACAATTGTTTTTGATCACAAATTTCCTGGGTATCTAACAACACCGCAGACACCTCTCACAAAGCCAGAGGCTGTAAAGTTTTTTCTAAATTTCTGATACATCGGAAATTAGTAAAGTAGTTTGTTAATTAAAAATTATATGTTTAAACGTTTGCCAGTTAACTTTTGCGAGCAGTACTCATACTTTGTTGTTCTGAGTCGGAACTCTCGACTATCCATTTTTACCTGTGTCTTTATGAATTAAATTACAATTATCGTGACCTGACATAAACAGCATCATAATATAAGTAACGTGTAAGGTAGTATTACTATGTTAAGACCAGCAGCTTATCATTGTTTCATTGAGGAAATTGTAAACACTGTCATTAACACAGAAAATGTCTGTGAGATGATTCAGACGTTTCCTTCACTCTTTTTGTTTTAATCGGTATTTACTCACGTTGTGCCATATTTAAATGTTAATTTTTAATTCTAATGGCAACCTTCAACTATCAAACCTTTATTACCTATACCATTATCATAAGACATATTGCTTCAAGAGATTATCATAGCAATGTCAAGATAACATGGGAAAGCGTCAATAAATCCACGAGTTGTGTAGCGAAGAATGGACTTTCTCTCTACCAAACTAAAATGCTTGCTCGTACGGGGAGGGGGAAGGGAGACAATGTTGAAAGGGCCTCAGAAGACTTTAATAATAGAATGTATTTACTTGTTATGTTCATTCCCTGATTTTCCCACTTTCTTAACCTGATAGTGTGGGAAACTTTTATACGATCCTTGGGGAAGAGGTAATCTGGCAGCTGTGTAAATAACATAACATAACTGGTATAACATGAAATGAATTGTATCAATAGTTATAATTTTATTCTTATCATAGTATTTTTATTAATTTCTAGTAAATATAACTCATGTAAATAAAAATGGCATAGTTGCCTCTCCATTTTTGTTTTAAACTGCGCTCGCCTATGCTTGGACCACCGCATTGGTTCATCTTGTACCCACCTGCCCTCCCGCAGCCACACAGTGCCACCCCAATCTCCTCCATCTTCGGCGGCGCTGGCGACAGTCTCATGGCCTCCAGGTATCTGCAACAGACTCCTATTAGTTCCTTCCGTTATAATCTGAGGAAGAAGAAGAAAGCTGTTCATCGATTGTAGCATCTTTCTCTCCCTGAAACGAAATGCTAATGTTCTTATATTTTTATATTTCTTCTAAAGCAAAGCTCGGTGTATAGTGACGGTACAAATATTAACATGAACCTGTTCCCAACATTTATAATATTGAAATAATTATATGCGTTGTCATTGCCAACAATAGTGTTTATTACAAGAGCAGCTTTCGATGGCTTAGCCATCGTCATCAGTTGTCTAGCACAAGAAGAAAAAACAAAACATTAAAACGTGAATATTCTTTTGATTTTACAACAAAATTATAATAAAGGTTACTAATAATTTACAATGTTTTTGGAAAATATTCTAAAATTAAAATTCTAGGAACTGGAAGAAAGAAAAAAGTGTGTGTGTGGGGGGGTAAGTCATTAATACTAAAGGAAAGTGAATGAAATAGAATTAGGACACGTAAAATTTGAAACAGAAAACATAGAAATGTAAGTGGAGCCATTCCTTACCTGCTGAATGGAAGTGTATTCTATATTTTCTGTTGAAAATGTACACATTGGAGATTGAACGATTCCTATCTGTGTAGATTGCCTCTAGCCCCGCGAGGTCAGTGCGAATGGGAGGCGGCAGATATTGCTTGTAGATCATTGCGTACTGTGAACGACCTCTCATGGAAGGGAGGTCATTGTGCGAGCGCGCGTTATCAATCAGAACAAGTAATAATATTAATAATAATTTTAGAATTTGTATTTGCAGGGTTCCAAGTAAACTGTTAAAGTATGTAAGCTCTCAAACCAACTGATATCACTGCAGGGTCTCTAACCGGGAGTTCTTAGGTTCGAGTCTCGACACTGGCAAGATTTTTGACACTAACTTGTCAGCTAGGTCAATTTCAGCCGCTATCTGGAGGAGAATTCTTGGGGCCAGCTGCTCTGATCGGTAGTTTTCCGTGGTTTCTCCGATCAAACCGACCGTCGGCTCACCCGAACATATCCATTCATGTAGGTAGTAACGTAGGCTTCCTGATGAATGGCCCATTATCGTGTATTTCGGAAGAAGATACTAATACTTTAATTGAAAATAATTATAAAGGCATCTTCTCGTAAAGATAGCTGGGAGCTAGAAGTGAGGATAGGAGCAGAATGTTATTTATATTAATCAATAATAATAGTATACATTGAATTTGTTATGTATAAACGAGTATAATACATAACAACGATATTACTATTTATATTGAACACGCTTATACAATTTGAAAATGTAATGTGTAATTTCTCAGTGTATTTTTTTCTTAAGAGACATTAGAAATACGTAATTTCTAAAGTTTTTGAGAATGGTGAAATCACAGGCTGTCTGTCTTTGCCCTCCGTGAATTAAGGTTTATAATAACCTTGAATATGCACAATGCCCACTTCTCTCGTATGTTGTTGTCAATTCGTGTACCAATGTTTTGTGATATTTTTCTTCAATGATAGGTCTCTCGTAACGCCTTCAGTACGATTGCAATTATCAGAGTAGGTTAGCATTTGTATATGTATGAATTGGTAATTAATATTTTAGTTTGTTACTTGAAGTTTGGAGATCGAATTTCATACTAAAGGGACTTCAGTGCAGGAGGAATAGTAAATGCTTTGGGAGGTTGTACAATTTCCTGTTCATAATATTCCTTATAATCACCTTTCAATTTATTATTAGTCATTCTAAAAAAACTGTAGGTTAGTATTTTAATCTAAGCTTAATAGTAACGACAACATTCTGTAGTGTTAATTATTTGTTAAATAAAGAAATAATTTTGACACATTAGTCTACTATGGGAAAAACTATGCAGTACATTTGAAATCTGTTATTTATGTACGTCTCTTGAAGTCTAGTTTCATTTTATTATGAAGGAGATGTTCCACTGCAACGAAGTAAATAATTTTAAAATTCATATGTTTCAAGGCCATGACGAACGTCATCACTGAAACGTCAGTTCTCGATATATAAAAGCTGAGCCTATGATGTTGCTGAGCCTCTGATATTACAAGGTTAAAGATAAGTACAAATCATTAAATGTATCAGCATAATTCTTAAGTACGTAGACCGCCTGGCCCATTAGGAAATTTAAGGTAAAGGCTCAAAGGTAGTTTGTTGGAAGATGGGTCTCGTTTGTACATGCATCTGTTCCATGCGTCCTGTTGCTTATTCCTGCGCCGTTGCATCGTTTGAAGCCTGCATTCTGAAGCGCGATGTGTTTTGCGCGACGTTTTATCAGTGAAATGAGATGATGTTGGTCTTGGTCAGACCTACTCTTCGAAAGAAACCTTTTTTTATCACCGCCATTTGCTTCTTATGATTGTTTATTTAACTGAAGAAACTAAAGAACAGAGGTGAACTTCTATATTATGTGACTATTGCTATTTAATCAAATTCGGTTACTGTTTAGAATATTTGTATTTTACACAAACGTGTTGTCAGGCATAGGTAAAACAAACATTGAGTATCTTACTCTTTTTGTGTAAAATTTCAACCATATATATATANNNNGATATATAGATATATAGATATATAGATATATAGATATATAGATATATAGATATATAGATATAGATATAAGAATATATAGAATAACTATATATATATATAGTTAGTACAAGATTTCTCCACTTTTTAGTTACCAGGGCTAGAAGTTTTTGTGAAAATCAGTTGTCCTGTGCACGTTTACAATACTCTATCTTCTTACAGAGTAAGATGAGAAAGTAAGGCCATTAATCGAATTAAGTATTTACAGAAAAGTTTATTTAAAATTCAACATGTATTTAAAAAGTTTTCTTGGAGAAATTGATCTAATCGCTGGCTAATGCATCTTTTCTTTGAAACGATGTATTTGCAAATGCCCGCAATAATTTGTTTTAGAATGCCAATTATAAATGCGTTCATTTGCTTTAGAATACCTATTCTAAAGGCAAATGAAGTCGTAGGCTTCCGCGGCCAGTCATGTGGGTGATCTGAGCTGTCTGGGTGACGCCGCGTCAAACACCACTACAGGATGGTCGAAACGTCGGCAACACAGCCTTCGACACGGCGTCACCCGGACAGCCCAGATCACCCAATTCTAAAGGGCATTCATTTCTGCTTTAAATTTGGCATGTCCAAAGCCAAATGATTGAGGTGGGAGAACGAATCGTCTTGGAGCGTATAATGCGCCAGAATAGGCTTTGGCGTGGCGGTGCTACCTGTGAGCAATCAGTCCCGGGCGGCGGCTCGGGGCCCCACCCTGCTTGTCGCACGAGGAAGCGACGGGTCGCGGAATTTGATGTGGCCTAGGCGCTGGGCGAGGCGGAGCGGAGCGGAGCGGACGGCGAATGAGCAACAGACAGGCGCGATCGCCTTATACTCGCCCGGCGTCCTTCGCCTCCCTCGTCGCTCGTGTCACCCTCGCACTCCAGCAGCCAATGCCAGTGCTAATGTACAGCCCCGACTCTCTTGGCGTGCGCTTTTCTGCTTCGGCTTTTCGTCATTTGCCGCGCGTATGTCATCTGCCATACGCCACAGGGCACTGCGACGCGCTGGTCCCACTCCTCGCGCACCCGTCCACCCTTCGCATTGCTCGCGCGATATAGCCTGCTGGAAACAACAGATCAAATTCGCGACTCATCCAGTCGTAGGGATGATAATGGCTTTTTAACCGTCTGATTTGTTATGTAACAGAGTTTATTGCGTCGTTCATTAAGAACTTGTGTGTTATGTTTTTGATGGAACGTGAGCCATAAAGGGTGACAAATCTGAATAATGCATATCTTTTTTGACGTACTCTCTGTAAATATGGCCTGTTTTGCGTTTTAATTGGCCGAAATTCGCGATCAGAATGTATTAAAGGAAGTAAATTTCAAAATCGTTCATCTAATCTCAATTCATTTGAAAATAAGTGACATTTTTAACGGATATTATAAATATTAATTTCTGAAGAATGTTTTTCTCACATCATAATAAATTACTGCATTTTTGTGCGTATTACATATCATGAGATATGTTGTCATATTTGAATTCACATTTAATCCTAAATTAGAAAATAACGAGTTACGCTAAATGATTTGATGGATCTGACACATTTTATTGCTTCGGAGCAATAAGATAACTACAGTATCAGAAAAAAGGCATGCACAATCTGCAAGTGCCCTTAACTGACAAGTAAATAATCGTCTCGCCGACCTGGATAGCTGACGTCGCTAGGGCTAAAGAGCTGCCTCGTACCTGAAGGGCCGCGGATTTGAATCCCACCCGGGGAATGGATGTTTGGTTATGTCCGCATACCGTTACCGTCATCCCCAATGTTACTTCTAGTGGTCGCTATATGACCTTAGTAGTTGAAAAGCGACCTTAAATAAATAAATAAAAAATCTCAGTTTGAAAGAGGGAAAATACTCTTCTACAGAACTTATTGAATACGGTATTTCAGAACTAATAACAGTTTTAAAAAAACAAAGCTGCTGATCAGGAAATCCTTACTTTCACTGTTGAATAGGGTGTGAAGAAATTCTTTCGCAACTGAGAAATTTACGCTAACATCACTTGAAAGGTCTCCTGCTCCCCTGTCTTATGCGAATGCGATGCTCATTGATGCGGGCCGTTGTGAACCGTTTCCCCGTTTCGCCCATTCATTTGTAGGCGATCTAATTGCAGGTGTGCTCGGCGCCTCGTCTCCACCCGTTTTCCCATCCCACTCCACCCTGCCTATGGACTGTTTTCTATAAACTCAAATGCGTCAGAGAAGCCAGGCAAGGGAATGTTGTGACGTCATTCAGAGCTTGGAAACAGCCTCCACGGGACATTTAACATCCTTTTGAGGGTTTCCCTCTTAACTTCTTCCACCTGAAGGCTCTAAAAAAACTAAACAAAACAGCTGCTGGGTCTTTGAAACTCCTTGACTCTTTTAGAAGACCCCTAGCATCGGCAAAAAAATATTTACCACTATTGCTACAAGAAGCAAACCAGATTTTAATGAGCTATTTCACATCAGAACGTCCTATCTAGTCTGTAGACATTAAGCTGGAAGTAAAAACTGGCCTCATCTGGTTCGGATATATTTGTGAATTTACACGCGAGAGGATTTTCAGGAAATAATCGTACCCAGCAGCTGATATTTTGTTATCGTATTGGGGTTCAAGAAGTTCAAGTCGGTGTATCATATCGCTCCAACTTGACTTTCAAGTTTAAACTTCATACGTAATGTGTGACTCGGAATGTATTTGCAGTAAATAAAGAAGTAGAACGTAGTTTATCGTTTTAACTTTGTATTGCCTTATACACCAATAACATACATTAAATTGTATTTATGAATGTAATTAATGAAAGCTTATTAAAACGCATATTAAAAGAGGAACGTCTCTGAGAAAAAAAGCAAGAATGTTTGACTTTGCCAATACTATTAAAACATTAATGAAAAAATAGAATATAATGCATGCGAGCATAAAACTTCAGATTAATTCGAGATAAAAGCATGTTTTTCTCACTTTCGCCTCTTAAGCCACTTGATACACACCCATTACCGCTGGTTTTACCAAAGTACCTGCAGAAATTGTTTCACGGAGAGGCTACCGTGCAGCTGATGGACTAATCGGAAGGGGGGGAGAGGCGTAGTTAAGGTGGTGCGAAGCGGCCGACCGCCACTTTCCAGATCGGAGCTGCTGCCTATCGCCAATCACCGAGGTCAGGGCAGAGAGCGCGCGGAGGCACGACAGCTTAGTGAAG